AATAAACACATACTGAGTGAACTAACATTAATGATTACTACCCTATCTTCTTGTTGTGTTTCAGTGGGGTTTTAAATACTGGACCAAAGACCTGATAAAAATATTATATGTGATGTTTTATGATGATCAAAACCACAATCTTAATATTTAAATTTGAAAATAGAATTTCTAATAAGTATAAAAGCAACATTCATGCAGTATTTACTCAGTAATGTAAAATAAAATTTTAAAACATTAAGAGAATATACTAATTATTGGGGCATCCTTAATTGGCATACTTGATATTTTAATATTTCATTTACTTTAATATTTCATTTATTTAAAACTATATGAGAAAACATGAAATATGCCAGGATAGTCTATATGAGAATCTAATCTTCAACAATCATTCTTAAACATATTATTTGTTAGAAATTGCTTTTGTCACTTACATATAACTATTTTGCTCTATCTTTTAGACTTTCCAACCTGCCTTCTGTGTACTTGTATAAGTACCACCGTGTACTGTGATGACCATGAACTTGATGCTATTCCTCCGCTGCCCAAGAACACTGCTTATTTCTATTCCCGCTTTAACAGAATTAAAAAGATCAACAAAAATGATTTTGCAAGCCTAAGTATGGAAGACAGCACTAATACCCTTCTGTTTACAGATTTTCCTAAAATTTTTGCACTGTAAAATGCTGGTACTGTAATTTGAATATCAAAATATGACTTATAAATCTATTGCTTTTATTTATTATATATTTAAAGGTTTGTTTTAATTATAAGAAAAAAATGATGAATAATTAAAGGTTGCTCTGAAATGTATAGTTGTTGATATTCTCAAATCATTTTCAACCAAATAGAAATACTAAGTACTTATGTTTTATAGGCCAAAACTCATTTTATAACATTAAGCACAGAATGTCATATTCATATATTTACTAGGACCTGGTTTGCTTGAATAGATTCCATTAAAGCACAATTGCTTTATGACTGATGAATGCAAGCGTACATTCTGACTTTATAATTGTTGCCAACTTTGAAGAATTTTGGTACTTGTCTTCATTGTGTTTCAATCACTTGAAAATCTGTTTTTAATGCACTTGTATTTTAATGCTAATCTATTTATAACTACTAGAAAATACAACAATATGCCATCACTGAGAAAAATGTTTTAAATACTAAAATTCAAACTATGTTTATGAAGAATATAGGGAAAAGAGCAGTTATTTTAAATACAGTGTGCCAACTTCCTTGCTAAATTTACACTTTCTTATAAGTGCACAAATATGAATAGTATTTTGAGAAAATAATCCAATTTTATAAAGTTGTTAGAAATAATTGTTTCATTAACTGTCCATTGTTAATTAAATTCATACTTGTATTTGCTGGTATGTGGGAAAATTTATATTTATATTTTTATGTGAGCAAACATATTCAAGAATATTTAACTACTTCCCTCATTTTTTCTTCCAGATGATCTAAGAAGGATTGATTTGACATCCAATGTGATATCTGAGATTGATGAAGATGCGTTCAGAAAGCTGCCTCAACTCCGGGAGCTTGTCCTCCGTGACAACAAAATCAGGCAGCTCCCAGAACTGCCGACCACTTTGACATTTATTGATATTAGCAACAATAGACTTGGAAGGAAAGGAATAAAACAGGAAGCATTTAAAGTGAGCCCTAAGTTTGAATATGAAAGACTTTCATCTTCATTCCCTTTGCTATCAATGACTAGCCATTTTATTTCCACAACAAGATTCAATTTGATGAGACTTTTAACTCTTAAATAAACTTTACAATACTATGTATCATGCTTTGGGAAATTACTGTGTTCTGGTACCTTCTGAGGCTGCTCAGGGACCAAGAACAGAAAGCAGAGCTGGAATAAGAAGTGGGTGTCCACCTGGGGCACCAGTCTATAAGCTGCACCTGGAAATGGTGTAAGCTCGATCACTCATATTTACCAAAACTCCACTTAATGGGAGTATTTTATGTGGTTAGAAAGACAGCTGCTTGTAGAGTATGGGTGGTGCCTTGAGGATAGAAACCTTCTGAATTTGTAAGAAGGGCAGTAACAGTTAACCTTATGAATTTTGTTATCTAAGAGAAGGAAGCAAGTCTGGGGCTCGAGTGACTTGCTTGGAATAACAGCATAGAGTCTGAGAACAGTAACCAGTTCAGCTTTCTTATTCACTCTTACTCCATTCAAGCTGCTCCTCCAAATATATGTTTAACAGCCAAATTTAGCATACTGTTTGAGGGACATCCTGTTACTCCCATGGAGGCGATAGGGGTGGTGTGGACCTGTTAGCACCGGGCAATGGTGGAAAGCTTGTCTCTCCACTAGCCCTCCTGTGACTGCCCCCTGGTGGGCAAGGAAGTTAGCGCCCCTCATTAGAGCCTGACAAAAGTCCTAATCTAGTCTCCCCGCTCAGATTTTGTTGGCGTGGGTGGTAGTGAGTCAGTTTGTCCTGTGGTGTTTGGCTAGAGTTGCCTGTTATTGTCTAAATTTATTCTGTCTTGCTAGGCTGCCCTTTCCCTAGGACTTGGGCTAGAGAGAGCAAGGTTTTGTTGGGGAGGAATTCTCATTTCTCCATTCCTATAACACGAGGGCAGTTCTTGCTGTGTCTCATCAAAATCTTCAAAATCTTATTTCAGAATGTCTTACGTGGGAAGTCACTACTTTGCTTAAATTGAGGAAGTTTGAGTGGGCAAAGCAAGGTTCTTCCTGGAGATTGAGAAACATATTTCATTTGCATCGAGAAATATTTGCTTGCTATTAATTCCTTCAAAACTCATTTGAATTGTCTAGTAACACAGAAAACTAAATTTGCCTCAATTTTACAAAACAAGACCTGAACAGGCATGTTTTATTTTACAAATAGTTGCATGGACAGGGAATGAAAATTACAACTGTGGCACCATTAATTTCTTTTAAGTCCTTATATTTGGAATATTTACAGGATATGTACGATCTCCATCATCTCTACCTCACCGATAACAACTTGGACCACATCCCTCTGCCACTCCCAGAAAATCTGCGGGCCCTTCATCTCCAGGTAGGCTTCTACTAGTAAGTTATGCCCAACACCTCTATGGGAAACAGAAGCAAACAGGAGGGAGGCAGGATGCAAAAAACTGTTTATAATGGCATGTTGACATGCTGTGACAGTTTTTCTTTTATTTCTCCTCTCTCATGCATTCTCTCTCTCAAGCTGAGTACAAGGTATTTGTACATTCATGACTCTATTTATACTGATTTATTTCTGATAACTTTAGTCTTTATTTTCATTCTTTGCTAAGTCATAATGCATCTTTTTGGCACACAAAGCTTCTTAAAAAACAAAAAAACAGAGCTTCATCTGCTGAAGAAACATGTAAAGATTAGAAATGGAAGAGAAAAAGCGGGAAAGAAAAATCTAATATGATTTCTAGCTTTCAGGGGAAAAATATCAGTTTTAACTCTTGATTTTATATACTGAATTAAATTCAATCCTAGGGCATTCCTATCTGCTGAGAAATGACAGGCTTCCATCTCTCTGGATTAAGCAAATGCAGATTTTTCTAAACCAACATATTTGAAAATCTGTGTTAAATCCCATTAAGCTACATTTTATCCTTGAAGTAATGAGTGAAAACACATTTTCAAAATGTTATGACCTAATATTTTCTAAATATATTTCATTTAAGTATCTTAAAAATATGATCAATTAAAACAAACATTTTTGGTTGTTGAAACAAAGAAAGATCAATTATTTCTTTTTTCAGATGTAAGTTTTGAGCTAGAGCCATAACCAAGTTTCTGTAATAATTTCATCTGTTCTATGGAACAAATCTGTGGAGAATATGTCCGTCATGTGCTCAAAGACACAACATCGTAGTGTAATATTACAATCTTTTAGCAGAAAAAGTACAAACCATCACAAGAAGTGATTCTGCTATGCAAGAGCAAGTCTCTGATTCCTATGATTTTCTCTGTGGATTCTGTAAATATCTACCTCTGTGTCTTTTTTTTTTTCCATGCTTCTTTTTGGTGTCTTTTTGTGTATATTTGTCCTTTAGTGTTGAATACCTGTCTCTTTGAGAGTTTTCTGCCTGTGTTAACTTCCTTAATATGTATATCCTTTCTAGTCCTCATCCTATTTCTGGATGGCTCTCTCTTGTTCTCTTTTTCTGGGGGTGAATTTCTATGTATATGTTTCTTGCCTTGTTTAGGATTGGAAGGAGGATTTTCAAGGGAATCCTCAAGGAAATTTTGGAATGTGTTTTCCAATTCTGAGTTACATTTTAGTACTGTGACGATACTGACTCCATAGAGTAACCAGGTCTCTGATACATTTAAACATAATCTGCTCATATATACAAAGAAGTTTTTTTAAGTAATTGGCTTTATATTCCCTATTCTAAGGTTTAAAAAGTGCACCCTTTAAAATATTTCTCTTTTACAGTCACCTCACTTATATCCAGCAGAAAGCTTTTCTTAATTTACAGTCTTCATTTTATATTTATTTTTAATGGTCATATAAACACGTCCTTTTTTGATTCATTTGAAAAATGTTTTCCAACATAAGTATAATAATTAAGAATGACAGCCCTAGCAAACACAGATTCCATCAGCTTAAATTCTATTTGACACTATTTAAAAATTGGACAAGTATCTAAACCTCCCTGCATCTCAGTTTTAGTTTATAAAGTAGATATTATAGCTACTGATACATGGTAAGTACTTAAAGGTGAAGTGCAATTATTATTAAAAATATGTACCTATTACCTATCAAAGGGAATAGTACAATGCATAGTCACTAAGTCTATTATTCCTCATGGACACTTTGTAATAATAGAGTCAATCCACTTTGTAATAATAGAGTCAATCCATAGTTACTAAGTCTATTATTCCTCATGGACACTTTGTAATAATAGAGTCATTACATCTGGAAGATGTAATGCTTATAATCTTATATCCACCTAACAACAGAGCCTCAAAATTTATGAAGAATACACTGTCAGAATTGAAGGGAGAAACAGACAATTTGACAGTAATAGTTGTATTTCTCAATACTCTCCTTTTAGTAATGGATAGAACAACTAGTCATAAGATCAACTAGGAAACAGAAGACTTGAACAACGCTATACACAAACTACACCTAACAGTCATCTACAGAACATTCAACCCAACAACAGCAAAATATGCATCCTTCTCAAGTGTACAAGGAACATCTCCAGGATATATGATATACTGAGCCACAAAACAGGCCTCAACAAATTGAAAAGAATTGAATTCATACAAAATATTTTTCTGATTACAATGAAATGAAAATAGAAATCAACAACAAAGAAAATGAGAAATTCACAAATACGTGGATATTAGACAACACTTTACTTAATAAGCAATGGGTCAGAGTAGAACTCTAATAAATTAGTTCAGCAATATAACAGGTTAATCAACATATAAATATTAATTGTATATGTATACACTAGAAATTAAAAACCTGCAAATAAAATTCAGAAAACAATCATATATAATAGTCACAAAACTTAAAAACTTTCTAAGAATAATATTAACAAAAGAAGTATAAAATTTGTATACTGAAAACCACAACATAGTGTGGAAAGACTTCTGTACAGCAAAGGAAATAATCACCAGAGAGAAGAGATAACCTATGGAATGGGAGAACATTTTTGCAAATCATACACTTGATAAGGGGTTGATATCCAAAATATACAGAACTCAAACAACTCAATAGGAAAAAACAAATAACCTAATTAAAATATTGGCAAAGAAGCTGAATAGACATTTCTCAAAAAAAGACATACAAATGGCCAACAAGTATGTGAAAAGGAGCTCAGTACAACTAATTATCAGGGAAATACAAGTCAAAACAACACTGAGATGTCACTATACATGTTAAAATGCTTATTATCAAAAAGCCCAAAGATAAGTGTTGGCAAAGATGTGGAGAAAAGGGAACCTTTGTACACTCTTGGTGGAAATGTAAGGTGGTGCAGTTATGGAAAACAGTATGCAGGTTCTTCAAAAAAATTAAAAACAGAAATACCATGTGATCCAGCAGCTTCACTTTTGGGTATATGTCCAAGGGAAATGAAACAAGTATCTTGAAGTTATCTGCATTCCCATGTTCATGGTAGCATTATTCACAACAGTCAAGATATGGAAACAACCTAAGTATCTGTCAATGGATGAATGGATAAAGAAGTTGTTGTGTATATATATACCACAGAATATTATTAAGACTATACACTAGCAATGAACTAAATCACAATGGGATACCACTTCACACCCCCTTGGATGGCTAAAATAAGACAGACAGAAAATTACAAGTGTTGCTTAGGATACAGAGAAAATTAGAGCCCTCGTAGATTGTTGGCAGAAGTGTTAAATGGCCCAGTTATTTGGGAAAACAGTTTGATACTTTCTCAGAATGTTAAACATGGAGTTACCATATGACCCAGCAGTTCAACTCCTAGGTATATATGCAAGAGAACTGGAAACATTATGTCCACACAAAATTTGTTCACAGATGTTCACAGAAGCATTATTCATGAGAGCCAAAAAGTGGAAGCAATCCAAATTTCCGTTATCTGATGAATGGATAAACAAAAATGTGGTAGATCCATGGAATGGAATATTATTGAGTGATAAAGGAAAAAAAGAATACATGCTATAACATGTATGAACCTTGAAAATGCAATTCTACAGGGAAGAACCCAGTCACAAATGATGATAAATTGAATGATTCTCTTTGTGAAACGTCTAGAATAGGAAACTCCATAGAAACAGAAAATAGTTTAGAAGCTGTCAGGGGATAAGGTTGGGGAAAATGAGGAGTTATTGCTAATATTTATGGGGTTTCTTTGGGGGATGTTTAAAATGCTCTGAAATTAAACTACGATGATGTTTATACAAGTCTCTGAATATACTGAAGACCACTGAGCTATACATTTAAAATCGGTGAATTTTATAGTATGTGAAATATATTCAATAAAGCTATTTTTAAAAATCTAGTTCTGGGCGCTCCCCAGAGCTGTATCTTCCTGATATCTGCATACCCTCTCCCTCACTTCACTTCAGCCATGTTGACTTTTTTTCTTATTCTCGAACTTTCCATGCTAGTTACTTGGAATTTGAACTTGGTGTTCTGCCTGGGATATTCTTACCTTGGCTCTTTCCAGGCCCATGCCCCCTTGTCATTCCATTCTCAGCTCCATTGCTATCGCTTACGATAACTTCACAGTCACCATCCTTTCTACTTAGTTCACATTGCTTTTGGACATGACTTGTTTCCTTTACATTTGTTTTTCACCTCCTTATCTTATATTCCCATTACTGAAGTACAAGCTCCGTAAGGGCAAGCACATGTCTCTTATGCTAACTGATTTACCCCCATTGCTTAGAAAGTGCTTGATGCATAATAATCACCTGTGTGTTTTTCGAGGAGAGAAGGAATGAACGAATAAAAACAGAGGTGAAGCAAAATGGACTATATTATTAATTGATACTGAGAATGTTTTATCTTGTCTAATCATTTCCTTTAATCTTTTTTTTAGAATAACAACATTCTGGAGATGCACGAAGATACCTTTTGCAATGTTAAAAATTTGACATATATTCGTAAGGCACTTGAGGATATTCGACTGGATGGGAACCCTATCAATCTCAGCAAAACTCCTCAAGCTTATATGTGCCTACCTCGTTTGCCTGTTGGGAGTCTGGTCTAATTTCAGATAGCAGTTAGAGTTATGATGCCTACTATAGAAAAACAGTTCTCTCTTAAAAAGAAAACTCAGCATGGTATTTTCAAATTGTATACTGAAAGGTGACATAATTACATAAAATGCAGCTATAAGTTTTAATATATGATAGCAATTTACTAATCTAAGAAACACCAAAAGAATCAGGAATAAACCAAAAGATCTATAAAAAGAGCAAAACTAAAGACAGAAAATATTTCACAGATATTCTTGTAAATCACTTGTATTTGCAAATTTTAGGAATTCATATCCTATATAATTTTAAATTAATCATCTAATAAAAATTTAAAATTAACACTTTAGATGTATTGCCAAGATTTAGATGTTTTTAATTAAACTTTTCTATTCTTTTTTTTCACTAAAGCATGTTTCTGTTTTCAAATTCATTAAAGAGAATGAAAAATAAAAATATAGAAAATTAAATGGCCTTGTGGGAAAATATTTTTTATAATCACAACATGTAAATAATCATGATAATAATACACACAGCTTCAGTTTTTGAGTGATAATATTTTATTATCTTAAAGACCTGCCAATTCTTTCTAGACCTTTTCTAAACTAACTGGTTACTTGGCATATTTCTGTGCCTGTGAAAAAAAATTAAATATAGATAATGATATGAAAATCACAGTAGGGAGGAAGTTAAGGAATACCTTCTAGAGAAAGTTGATCTTACTGAAATATACAATAATACAGGCACATGGCTAAAAACTGAAAGATAACAAAAGAGTATAAAATGAAAGGTTTCCTTCCAGCAGCAAACCCTAAGTTCCACTCCTTAGATAGTCAATGGTTTCTTGCATACTTTTACCAAGTTTTCCATGAGAAGTAAAAACTTGCACATAAATAACTTCCCTTCTTTTACACAAATACATAATGGGTATGTGCTGCAAGTATATACATATCATCATTATGTATGTATCAGTACACGTAAACATAAATTTTTTTAAGTACAAAAGATAGTCAGTATTCTGAACCTTGCCTGTTTCACTTAAAAATATTTCTTGGTGATTTTTCCCATGTCAGCACATATAGCTCTACTTACTCTGAAAACCACATATCAGTCCATGACATGCATGCACATTGTTACAATAGGAACCAATTCTTGGACATGATACATACCAGGCATCTACTGAGGTGTTCTTCCTGTATTAATTCACAACATCTTAGGAGCTGGGGATAGTAATGACTATAGAAGTCACAGATCAGAGAGACAGCTTAAATAACTTGCCCCAGGTTAAGGGCTGACTCCAAAGATCTATCCTATTCCACATTGTCCTGCCTCAAATACCACGGGCATGCCTTTTCCCTGTTTTGTAATACAAGAAAATGATGTACAGACTAGACACAGAAACCATTATGAACTGAATGTTTGTGTCCCTTCAAAATTCATATGTTGAAGCCCTAACCCCCACTGGGATGTGTTCGGAGATGGACCCTTTGAGAGTTCAATTAGGGTTAGATGAGGTCATAAGGTGGGGCCCTCATGATGGGATTAGTGGCCTTATAAGAAGAGGAAGAAAAAGAGATTACTCTGTGTATGTGTGCATGTGTGCATGAATGTGTGTGTGCACACCTCACACGCACTAAAGAAAGACCATGTGAGGATATGAAGAGAAATCAACCATCTACAAGCCAGGAAGAGAGCTCCCACCAGAAGCCAAAATCAGGTGAGACCTTGACCTTGGACTTCCTAGTGTCCAAAACTTCTATTGTTTGAGTCACCGAGTCTACAATACTTTGTTATGGTAGCCCAAGCAGACTAATAAAGATGTCAAGCTCAGTGTTACTTTTTCAGATGTCACAGTGACTTCCAAATGGTCAAAGGCCTTTGAGACACATCTGAGGAACCATTTCTGGGGTCTAGAATAGTCATCTAGATACCCTGGCTCCAGAAGATTAGTAGAAAGATGGATTAAGATGCTTAGGACCATGAAGGTAAAGAAGACACCCAGTGGGCAGAGCTGACTTACTCATGAGGCACAAAAGGTACAGTGCCTGGGAACAGTGATAATTTTAGGAATTCTGCATATATTTTTATTTCATTTCAATAAACAGAAAACATGTTGATAACAGTAATAGTTAAACATGCAGTAAAGAATTCGGCCTGGAATATACTTGTCTTTATAGCAACAAGATATAAACTATAATTTTAATTTTTTTGTGGAGGAAAGAGCCCATAAAGTCATAATACCCTGCCCACACATACTATCAATGATCTCAGATCTCCCTACAAATGGCACAGAATTTCTCTCTGTCCTCACCACCTTCTCAGTACACCATGATTACCAAATCAGGAGGGTTGGGAGCAGGAATTTGTAGCCAGAAAAGGAAGGAAGGAAGGAAGGAAGGAAGGAAGGAAGGAAGGAAGGAAGGAAGATAAAATACTGGCATGAAAAGGTATCATTATGCAAAAGTTATGGGGTCAGCTGACATTCCTGCAGGCATTATGACTACCTACTCAAAAGTCTGCTTTGCAAATGTAATTCACCATAACTCTGGAAGGACAAAGTAAATTCTATAACCTGGAAAACATGATGATAACATTTTAGTATTTCTTTTATGTGTTTCCTATTTAAACAGTCATTTCCAAAACACCTCACATTCTTAATTGAAAGCTCAAATTCTAAAACTGACCCTTGATTAAACAGTCTTTTTTTAAATAACCTAACCTTTTTTCTTTATTTATTTGCTACATACATTTACTTTTCTCTAAATATTACAGGTTATTTTCTAAGGGGGAGGACACTACATTTTATTGCTCCATATTATAGTGTACTTCAAAACTATTCATAAGCAAACATTTCCATGTTAAAATTCCTAAATAATTATTACCAAATAATTATTTCAGATGACCTGACTACAATATGTTGTGTTAATCCTCTGAAAACTCTGAGTTGCTATAGGGTTAATAATATTTTCAAAGTGCGATAACAAATAATACCTAGATAGAGTACTATGAGTGCAAAATTCACATCCTTACTTCTCTTTAAGTCTGTAGCAACATTGTCTTTGTAGTTAACTTTCCTTTCATAATTTGCTTAAATAATATGAGAATTCAAAACAGAAAATATTACAGTGGTATTCCATGATGCACATTATGCCTCACTAATCTGTAAACTAACCCACAACTTCCCAAATTATGAAGAAAAGTAATCAATAATTTTGAATCCATTTATCTCACTTTGAAAAAAGTCAGAAAGGCTTCATACTCTGTACTTAGCCTCTGTAACCACTAGATGGCGCCTACCTTCTTGGTTTTTAACTTACTTGGTGGAAAAGACAAGTTTTTGAGAATGCGTAAGATGAGTTTTATTTACATTACTTTTTGTAACCCATAGTAATGCACTGGTTACAAAGATGAATCTAAAATATTTGTGGTATTTCATTTCTCTGACCAAATGTATCACGTATATCCAATTTTTCTCTAAAGAATTTTATTTACAAGTTTAATTAGTGGAGGTTTGTTTTTCAAAAGCCTATCGAAAAATGCTAAAATGCTAAAATCAAACAATGTGCCCAATTCCACTACATCAGGGTAAAGAATAATACTGGCAACTTGGAGTGATTTAAGTAAGGTATTTGTGATAAAATATTTTTTACAGTATCTAACTTCACAGTTTCTTTAGTATAAGGACTTCTATTACTGAATTTTGAATGAGTTACTACTGCCATCAAGTGTTAGAATTCATACTTTTCAAGTCATCCAAATGCACAAAAGCCAACACCAAGAATGCAATGTTTTCAACTTAACAATGTAAAGCTCTGGATAACACAAAGCACAACAAAACCTATGTTGTCATATGACATTTATCAGAGTTTCAAAATGCAACAATATCATTGAAATCTCTCCAATAACGTTGAAACTAGTTAATGTGAAGGACATATTTTGCTGAATTTACTTGAAATATGTGACCCCCAACGATTTCCTGCCTCCTGGTGGTCATGCCTTTGTGTAATCCTCTCTCCTTGAGTGCTGGTAGAGACCTGGGCTTTGCTTCTAACCAAGAGGACATGGCAAAGGTGATGGATGTCACAAAAATCAAGACCCATGATTATGACACACACACACACGTGTGTGTGTGTGTGTGTGTGTGTATCTGTCTGCATTCACTGTGCTAGGAGGCACTAAGGAGATCCCCTTGGCTGGCTTGATGGATGAAGTGAGCCGCCATGTTGAGGAAGTCCACGGCAGGCATCTGTGGGCAGCCCCTAGGAACCTCTGTTATTCTCTAGAACCTGCAGGTTTGCCTTAAACCTGAAGGCTTCCTACAGCCCCCATTCAGCTAAAGGGTAAGGCCCTTAGTTACACAGCCACAAGGAAGCAGATTCTGCATATAACATGAATAATCTTGGGAACAGATTTCCCCTGAATTGAGCTCCAGGATGAGAACCCAGATGGCTTTGATCACAGCCTGGTGAGACCCTGAGCAGAGGACACAACTAAGTTGTTCCTATCCCCTGACACCTGGAAACTCAGATAACAAATGTATGTTGTTTTAAGTATCTAAGTTTGTGGGAACTCTTTTATGTAGCAATAGAAAATGAATACAATATATAAAAACATGGCCTGTTGTATTTTAATGTTGAATCAAAATACTTCATTTTGCAGCATTTAAAGATTATGGTCAATTTTGAAAGTCTTAAAAATTTCCTAACTGCATTTCTCATGGCTGTGTTTAACATGCTGTAGTGCTAATTTTCTTAGGTGATTTACCAGTACATGAACAATCTGTATTATAATGTCAATCCATGAAAAACTAAAAATCATAAATCGTTAATTTGCTGCTTCTCTTAAGAGGAAGAGTGTTGTTAGACAATCCTGCATTGTTTTTTAATAGAAAGAATGAATTTGAAAGATATATCGCTCACTGTGAAAAGGAATAAAGCCAGTATTATTTGTATGAAGTTTACATCAACTGATCAAAAAAATGAAGTCAATTATCCATGGGTTAATCTTTTGTTAAAGAAAGGAGAAATTGATGGAAATTCCACTACAGCAACATGGTCAATTTCTAAAGCTCTCAATTAAAACTGAATATCATATACCACATATGTTCTTAGAAAAATAAATCTGGAAAACCACCATTCCATTAAGTAGATCAGGGAGTGAGTAACCGCCAAACATGAGTCTACATCCAAAAAGGGACACCGAGGACTAAAAATGTCAGCCATTTTGCACTTTGCGTCAAGCAGGCTTGTCTCTTCAGCAAACCACAGAGCAAA